CCCCAAAACCCCAAAACCCCAAAACCCCAAAAATCAGAGCCGTGTTGAAATTAAGAATATGAGTGTTCTATTGGTTTTATTAATGAGTATATAATGTAAGGACGCTAAACTTCCATAAATAGCAGTAAATCTTTTGTATCGTTAATGTTTGAAAAATAGCTAGTTGTAAAGCTCCTTTGGAAATAATTTGGAAGGGTCTAGAAACAAGATGTGATGGAGTGCCAGAATTTGTATCTGAAATATAAAATCTGATATCTCTAACGAGAGATCAGAAGACTGCTTTATGGTTACAATCCTGAACTTTATAATTGCCTAATTTTGCTACAATAAGGATGAAGATAGAGAAAGGAAATGCAGATAGTAGCAAATCTTGCCAAATCCAGAATTGTTCGATAAGAAATGGCGGTTAGTTAGAAATTATATAACCCAGCAAAGGTGGTATGATAAGCTAATACACTTCATCCTTCCAAATTGGCTAAGCTAAGCCACAGTTGTGAAAATATATTACTGATGAGAAAGCAAGAATATCATGGCTTCCTTAGTTATGAAAGATTGGAAATGGCAGATTATGCTCTTTCCCAAATTGTCCGATTTAAATCAGCAGATTCGGAAGCCTGTAGGAAATCATTAATTTTTGCAAAATTCGGTGGATTTCATAAACACTCGACTTTGGCCGGAACTAAGGAACGTTTGGATATGACCAAATATGTTGAACTACTAGGTTTTAGAACAGAATATCCTTAATAATAGTGATACTTCTTCTTTCTAGTGCTCTGTTGGCTCTGGTGTACTCTATAGCATCCAAGGGCTGCTCTGGCATCATCCACACTATCATGAGAGCCTGACTGTATTTTCTTTCCTAGGAACTCAAGAGTTAGCTTCTTTAAAGATCTAGGCTGGTTAGTACCTGGATGTCTAAACTCTTTGATCAAGCTAATGTCTTTAATATTGTACTTCTTCGGTCTCCATTGTAATGCTTTGAAATCATTATGAAGACTATGGCCTATAATATCTCTTCCTTTAAGAATAGCAATAGCTTGTGCTCTTGCTTTCTTAAATCCCATGGCATACTTGAGATCTGAGGGATAGACTCCACTGACCCAACTTCTGTAGTTAGTGATCTTCCCTTCAGGCTTAACATAGGTATCCATTAAGACATGGCCATCATAGTTGACAATGGATATTCTTGCGAGGCCACTCTCTGTATAATTTACGCCTACCATTTCTCAGTCTATTGCGACCATAGATGTAATTCCTTCATCTTTTGAGTACGTCTCAGGGTTAAAAACAGCTTCAGCAATCTGGCTTTCATCCGAGTCATCCTCCTGATATCCATCATGATACTTATACTTAGCTTCTTCCTTTCCATAAGAGACATACTTCTGGGTCTTCTTTTTGGCATAGGTCTTAGTAGCCGCTGTTTGAGGTCTGTAGGGGCTATCTCCGAGGTATAGACCTTCAAATTTCGCCGAAAGAGAGTCATCTCCATCTCAATAGCCGTAGCCGTATCTGTTATAATCCATTATGTGGATTCAAAACACGCGGGTTTATTTGGGGTTTTGGGGTTTTGGGGTTTTGGGG